CTCTCGCTCTCTCTCTCGCTCTCTCTCTCGCTCTCTCTCTCGCTCTCTCTCTCGCTCTCTCTCTCGCTCTCTCTCTCGCTCTCTCGCTCGCTCTCTCGCTCGCTCTCTCGCTCGCTCGCTCTCTCTCTCGCTCGCTCGCTCGCTCGCTCTCGCTCTCGCTCTCTCGCTCTCGCTCTCTCGCTCTCTCGGTTTGCTCTCTCTCTCGCTCTCGGTTTGCTCTCTCGGTTTGCTCTCTCTCTCGCTCTCGGTTTGCTCTCTCGGTTTGCTCTCTCTCTCGCTCTCGGTTTGCTCTCTCTGTTTTTTCTCCACAAAAAATAAACAATTGCTGTGCAGCACTAGTGTTTCGCTTGAATAAAAGATGGCAACCCTAGCGGTGACTGAGCAATGCCAGTTGTGCACTGAGACTTCTGAATCACACCACCTCAAAAGGGGAGCGGAGTAGCCGCCTGTTTAAAACTGACCGTTTTAGCGGGTTGGCTAGTGTGAACGAGCCCTCAAGGTTTTCAGAGAGAACACAACTGCATTTCCAATGGTGCAGTTAACAGAATAAGAGCAGAAGCACGTACCTGTAAAAACTAAATGGAATACTTGCCACTCCTGCCAACAGCACCACTGGATGCCACCCTGTTGCTGAGAAAAACCCTGTGTTTCCTTTCTAAGACTAGCCATAGATAGGAAGGTGCCTGAGAGCACCATGCTCGGGGACATTTGCTTATCGTATTTTTTTTTTTTTAATGTGTATTTTGGATTTCAGTGTGAAGTCCAACTCGGCCTGTGCAGCAAACAAATGAAACACTTTATCTGTACCTTAAGTTTTGTTCTGTGAAAAATAAGACATTGCAATAAATGTGTAATAAGCACGTAACAGGTGACTGACTAAATCTAAATTTTCAGGTGCTGAACTGAGTGCCGAAAGCAGGACATGCATGTTTGAGTCTAAAAAGGACTACATACTACACTTACTAAGCCTGTGGACGGTAAGATGATCTAATTTTACTCTTAAAAATTGACTGGTAATAATTCTGTTTTTATTGCATGGGTCCTTCCCAAAAATTCTATATAACAAGAAAGCCAACACCGTGACACATTTATGGGTATTGTGTGTTCTGAAGGAATCCACAAATGACAAGTCTGAAATGGAGAAAGATTTGGGGGTCACTGTAGACCATAAACTCAATAATAGATTACAGTGCCAGGTTTCGGTAAGCAAAGCTAGTAGAGTCCTGTCCTGCATCAAGAAGGGAATGTTTTGCAGGGATAAGTCTATAATTTTGCCACTTTACACATCAATGGTTCGGGCCTCACCTGGAGTATGCGGTGCAGTTTTGGGCACCGGTACACAGAGGAGATGTCCTTGAACTGGAGAAAGTCCAGCGAAGGGCGACCAAACTCATCAAAGGGATGGAGGACCAGAGCTATGAGACACGGTTACTAAATTTAAATATGTTCACGCTGGAACTAAGGAGATTAAGGGGGGACATGATTTTCATGTACAAAATGTTCCATAGTCATAGCGACATTAGCAACAAACTCTTTACGATTAATTCTGTAACAAAGACTAGAGGACACCACCTAAAACTGGTAGAAAAAAAATTCAAACACAAGGGGCGAGGGGGATTCTTCTCAGTTCGCACGGTTAGGGCCTGGAACTCGTTGCCACAAGCAGTGATTTCAGCTAATAGTGTGGAATCGTTCAAGAAGCTTTTGGACGATTTCCTGAGAAACGGTAATATATGGGGGTACAAGTACTCCTAAAAACGAGATGACTCTGAGATCTTTACACACACACACACACACAATAGGTTGGACTTGATGGACATGTGTCTTTATTCAACCTCAAATACTATGTAACTATGTAACAATGGGCTGTAACGTTGTATGTACGTGTGCTCTGGGTCAGAACTCAAAAGTACTAATGGATGAGTAGTAGTATGTATAGAAGCCAAGCAACTACAAAATAATTTCCTAAAGTGTATTTAGTGTAGCCAGTAACAAAGATGTAATATGTTGCAGCTTATCAGTCCTTGGCTGTGGTAACTGCATTGATTTTTCTTCCGTTACTTTCACCGGTTATTCCTGCTGCTAACACACTTTCTACCTTTGACTGGCTATGCTCACTTGTCCACTTTATCTATGGAGGGAGCTGAGTTTGCCACCTGGGCTAAACTTCACATGTCTGCCCTTGCAATTCTCCATTGCAATGTAGGTGGTGGTGGTGGGGATTAGTAGCTTAGAGTTTAGACTCCACTTAGTGCATACTTGTTTTGGGGCGGTGACTCGGAACTAATAAAGCCAGAGACAGCCAGACAAATAGTAATTTCAGAAAGAGGAGGGCAATGGCATTCCCATATTTCTCATTACAGGTTTCCTTTAATCAGCTGTGCATGCACCCTAGAAGAATGCATTTTAAGTGCTATGAACACCATCAGCACTATGGATAACTGCCAATATAATCAAATGTGGTCTTCTCTTTTCCCTTAGAGTCTTTGTAACTGGGGGTAGGGACAAACTATTGGAGCCTCCCAAACCTTTCTGTCGTGGTTGAATGCCAGACCATTCTGAGAGGGAAAGCTCCAACGCTTCTAGGTAGGGGTAAGGATTATCCACACTACTGACCAACAAGGCTGTCCATTACAGTAACTTGCTAATAGGAACGGAATGCACTGAAGACAAAAGGGGGTGTTGGTGCTGTCAGAATGTGGCAGAGCTGGTAATTGACCACTTTGATCCCCTTCTCTTCCTGCCAGTGATAGTCTGTCCAACAGGCCGATGCGTTTCCACAACATCTGAATACTGTAAAAGTTGTTTCCTAAAACTTCTCTAAAAAAAAGTCTCTAAAATTTCCAATCAGTCCCATGAATGGAGGAATAGGGTTAAGGTACACTGAATTCAGACTGCCTAACCCACCCCACCTGCTGAATGGCTCTAATTTTCTCTCTGGCATTCCATCTTCCACACCATTTCCCCCGTCACAAAATCTCCATTATACCTAAAATCTTCCATCTTTCTAATAAGCCTCAACCTGGGGACAGATTGTTCAAAGTTCATTCACCTATTTCAATAGGACTACAATAAGACAAAAGTGTTCTTGGCCTTGAAGCTCTCTCCAGATTGGGAAAATGTTCAAACAACATAAACCCCCAAAAGAGTGCATCTGCCTCATGGAAAACCTTCAATAAAATTCTAACAAATGACCACAAAGGTACTTGAAAATTGGCAAACAAAACACAGTATCTGGGTGTGGCATGGATCCCTCAAATCGCCAAAAGAAAACATACCCAACTAGAGGAACCATTCAGAAAAATTCCATCACTGTTTCATTAGGGCATGGAAATGCACCACAGTGACAGAAGGTGGCTGAATGGGTCTTTAGTTGGTCATCTTCATCTAATGATGTGAGGGATCCAGACTTGGATGGATTCTGTGTTTTTTAGATGTAATTTCTCAAGTACCTTCTAAGTATTCAAAGTGTTTTATGAACATTTTATTAAAGGTATTGCACAAGGCCAGCACACTCTTAGTTTGTTCATGTAGGTAAGCTGTTTATTGGCTGAGGTACCACTCGCTCAAAGCAACCTATAAACCTCACCCACGTCCAAAGGTAGGTGTACAGCATGGAATAATATGAGCAGAACCTGCTGTGAGAAGTTTTCCAAAGCTTGGCTGTATTGACTTCATTGTGCTAGCTATAGTTTGGCAGGGCCCAGTTTCATGGTTGGCTTTTTATTTATATTAACGCTTTATATTTGATGTATTCAGTAGATTTGCCTTGGAGGTACAACAAAGGATGAAATGCATGTTATTGCAGTGGAGACGGATCAAACTCAAGGACACCCTGTTGTCATTGCTTCTCTAAAGCCTTCATTGCAGCCAATGGTAACTTTTATGTACATTCATTAATCGACAGACGATCTAAATGTAAAACAAATGGCGGTGTAGAAAGCAGTTGAAACTAGGCCACTGCTCCTGGTGGAGTAAGGGGCTCTTCTTTAATTTAACATATGACAGTCGGCGATGCCTAATATCTTTGGTTACAGATGTAAGTATTGAATTGCACTAATGGCTGCCAATCACATGCACACTCATGCAGTAACTTTAGCATGAGTGTTTTTAGCACATCTTTGTTCTGATAGGCTGCCAGGAACATGCATGACAGTCAGAACACCTGGTTCTCAACTAGTGTAACCTCAGGACCCACATACTTAGTCATTAAGTTGCGACCTAAGTCGCACTGCAATGGAGCGCACGGCATTAGGGTACCATGTGTTTCTTTTGAGGGCGTACGAACTGTAGGTGGAAGGTGCGTTTGGGGTACCATTCAAATGAATGGCAACACAACACACCTCCCACACCAGAATGCATGGTAGGTGCGATTGCATCGTACAGTTTAACAAACTGTACTAGTGTGAACGGGCCTTCAAAAACACTGGCATACATACACAGACATAATCTCACACACTCAGACATTCTCACACACATACACACTCGCAAAAATTTTTTAATTTTAAGGTCCACCCAGTCTCCCTCCCTTACGAGAACTGGAGTGGATCCTCAGCCTGGGGTCCAGTGTGGACTGCTGTGCTGTGACTGAGCTCCATCCATATGTGCATTGCTTGTACAGCTCCCTTGCAGGCCCTGAAGAGTTGCCGGGAGCCAGAATGTGACGTCACTCCGGGCCAGGCACCTCTACAGGACACGTGAGGAAGCTGTAAGCAATGCAAGTATGAATGGATGGAGCTCCCGTGTGGCCGTTGCCCCATCCTATCCTACCTCAAGCTGACACTCGGTGCCGGGCAGCATATTTTGAATGGCTGCTTGGCACGAGAACTGACATTGCAGCACTAGGGGGAGGCAGTGGAGCCTCTCACCTAGAAGTGGAAGGCATGCGGCGACCCACTGAACACGGGGCAGCAACCCACTTTTGGGTCACAACCCACTAGTTGAGAACCACGGCTCTAGTGGGTGGGTGTCTTCAAGCAGTCAGCAGAGTATAGTGATTACTAGCTACCTAATGCTGGCCCCCATGGAGGCTTTTTTTTTTTTTCACTGATTACCTCGGCATTCTACCTGTGTGTCTGTATCTGCCCCGAACCCGAGTTCAGTCTGATCATACATTACCCTGTACACAGCTTGTCCTGCTCCTGACTAGTGATGAGTAAACTGGCCTGAGTTCAAGTCACTTGGAAATTTGTTAAGCCTCGATTTCTGGTGTGGCCTGGCAAACATCCAAGCAAACTGAACCTAGGGCTGCTTAGTGTCCTTGCAATCAATGACAAAGACAGGCACAATATAACCAATGATCCTGTGGAGTCACAAGCGTATTGGCAACCAATGACACTGAGGGGCTGCCAGCGTCTTGACAATCAATGATGCCATGCAGCCTGCACAACATCATTGGTTGGCAAGAAGCTGGAGGCCCCATAGTATCATAGGTTGTTATTATGGCTCACTTGCCTGCATTCTAGCAACCATTGAGTATGCGCGGCTCAGGCATCAGACTGGAGGGCAAACTGGCCAAATTGTTCAAGACATGGACTCAGTCTGTGCTGAGGTGGATGGAGGTTAGAGGTAGACATGTGCGTTTCGTTCCGAATCGAAATTCGGACGAATTTTCGTAAATTCGGATGTATCCGAATTACAGACATAACGAATGCAAACGAATCTGAATTTAATTTCCGAAATTCGGTAGCGGTAGTTCGAACGTTCGTTTCTTATTCGTTTCGTTCGTTGGAGCAAAGTGACATTAGAGAAGGAGAAAAATATTTTTTCCCCCTCAAATGTCATGAACGAAACGAATAAGAAACGAATAAGAACAGAAAACGAAACGAACGTTCGACCTACCGCTACCAAATTTTGTCCGAATTGACTTTCACACCCGAATCCCAAAAAACGAAATAACACAAATGCGAATTTAAAACGAAACAAAACTAAACAAATTTTTTGGCAGTGCACATGTCTAGTTAGAGGTTCTGTTAATATGTTGCATAGGAGATTACTGGACGGAGTACATAATAAAACCATGTTGGTTGCGAGGGTAAAGGCTGCAGGGTCACGTTAACCATGTGGGGGAAAGAGAAAATGTGCATTTTTTGGACACAAAAGGTGACCACATATTAATACGATCATTTGATTTAACTAAAATGATTAAATTGAATAATCGTAAACCACAGACCATCCCCTCTTCAGCTGATTTTATTAAGCTTTTGACTGATTTCAACACTGTCAAGTTGATCAGCCATAGAGGAATTCTGATTGTTTCTGACCAAATGAATATGCACATGTAAGACAACTGATCATAATGAAGATCCATTAAATGATGATTTTTTTAAAGATTGTTAGATCATATCTATGAACCATGTATACGCTACATGGTTCATTATTTTAATCAATCATGAATTGCTGGTTTTCACAACTTTATACGTGTATGGCCACCTAAAGGCTTCTAACATGGGGTCCTATTAAATTTGGGGAGCAATGTAATAAGTAGTGTTATTTTAGCCGCATTGGGTTAATGGGGTGGAAAGGCTTGACACTGGGGTGGAAAGGCTTGACACTGGGGTGATGGGGAGATGTGCCAGGTGTGTATAGAGTAATGAAAGTATTTTGGGGTGTGTGAGATAAAGCAATATGGAGGTTATTGGTAGATGGAGTGCTGGAGGCAGAGAGGACTTGCAGAGGATTTTGCTTGGAACAGTTAACATGTCCTACCTTGATACCCCTCAACATTTTCTGGACTCAAACCCCTATCAGATAAAAGACAGGCCGGGAGCTATGGAACGAAGTGTAATAAGCGAAAGGCCTACATGACGAAGGTGGGAAAGGGAACCAGGAGAGGAAAGGGTTAAAGAAAAAAGGAGGAGTTAATTAGAGGAGGGATACTCACAGGATTGGAGGAGAAGGCTTTACAGGAGGGGCTTTGGAGAGTATCCGGGAAGGAGGAGTTCCAGGAGCCAGCGTGACCAGGAGAAGGAACGGACTCATGGTATGGTTTTAGTGGTGTCGAAGTTTGTCGCAGCACTATGGCGATTTGGATCCTTGAAGGCATTTGTCTGGGTTGGATAATTTGACGGGGGGACCCATCGGTGGTGTGGGTGGCCTTCTGTGGTGGTAAGGTCAAACGTTATGACCTGGTAATGGGGACCACGGTGGGTCTGCGGGCAATTTAATTACGTCCCCGAGGCGGTGTATGGCGGCTGGGGTCATTCTGGTTTAAGAAAGGTGCCCGCAGACACTGGTCTGATTTTGGATCGTTATAGTGCCTTCAAGGACCTTGAAACCTAGCAAGTCCTACTGTACGGTTATTTGGTTATTGTTGTTATTTATAAAGTTCTGTAATAAAAGGCTGCTGTGGCCATTTATACTCCAACCCTGGTGTAGTGTGTTAATTCGAAGGAAGGGGATGGGGAATCGAAGGAAGGGGATGGGGAATCGAAGGTAAAGGGGGTGGTGCCAGTAAAAGGGGGACCTCTGAGCTACCTTAGTCATGTGTTTGTACAGAACTATTAGACAATTGATATTCCATTTTGCTGTATTTGCAGGTTAATCTACACGGCATGGAGTTAACCTCTCCTGTTACATTCATGCTTGAATCTGGAAGTGGACCTGTGTACATATCAGGACAGCATATAACATGTAAGTCTATCCTATGGACTTTTGTACTGGTTCAATTGTCATATCAGCTTTCATAGATTCCACTATATAGAATGCTTATTGCTTTAACTTTAAGAAAATGGGTTGGTAAATTTAGTACCGCATCTGATTCTATACAATTTACTCACAAGACCAAAAATTTTAGGTACCCAGACACAAAAACATAAATTGTATAAAATACCCCTATAAAAAAAGAGCAGTTAACCCTTGCAGTGCGGGTAAGGTCTTTTCTTGTGTTTTCATGAGAAGCACTGCACTCCCAGCAGAACTGTACACCCACAAAAGGGTCATAAACTGGGGCATAACTACAGATTATAGGGTCCACATAGCAAAACTTTAGACCCACGGCTAAAGTAGGGTACACACTATGCAAAATTAATTCGCACAGCGGGTGCTCCTGTTGGCACCTTTCTTCCTGGCATCGCTCGATCAGAAGATCAAAGGAGCTGGTTGGAAAATCTTTGGCTGACCGGCGCTTGCGGCCAATAAGCTGCATGCGCCGTATGGTTATTCTGACAGCTGCTGCTGTCTGATTACAAGAGCAGGTGATTCCTAAGAAGAGCTGCGTGCGGGGAAAGGGACCCCGATCAGCCCACCTTTGACCCTGAAAGCACACCATAGAGAGTCTAGAAAAAAAATTGGATTTATTGAGAAAGGACACCATAGAGTCTCCGTGGGCTGTGCAGGATCTATGGTGGGCTGTGTGGGGTCTCAGGTAGGCTCTGCAGGATTTCCAGAAGGATCTGTGGGGTTTCAGTCCAGTGCGTATACTGTTCTGCATTGCTGTATAATATATTGCTGGCATTTGTAGTCCCTCCTACAGCGGCTGCCATTCTGCATTAGAGTGTAAGCTCCTCTGTACAGAAACTCATGTGACTGGCTCAGTGTTCTCTGTACAGCACTGCAGTATGTCGGAGATATATAAATGTATAATAATAATAATAATAGTGTAAGCACCTCTGGAACAGAGACCGCTAGGGGGGGCGCCCCAAGATAAAATCCTGCTCCAGGGCCCTTTTATTCCTTAGGCCCGCCCCTGGCAATGCATCTACACTGCTAAGATAGATAAGAAGTCCTTTAGAATGCATGGAGTGGGATCTGTGACTGGACCATCCAGAGGTCTGACTTCAGCCTTTCTATACTGGAAACCTCACGGTTTAGTTTTCCCGCATCACCCTCTCTAATGGGCCCATCTCCTGCTCCAGGCCCCATAGCAGCTGCTTGGGCTCCTATGACTATTGTTACGCCACTGCTCACCAACAATGTAATGGTAACGAATCACTATGAAATTACAAACTCTTTTGGCATATGAAATGGTGAGCATTTGTGTTAAACTGAAATATTAAGCTGTTTGCTTAGAGTTCCTCTTTAAGCTCTGTGCAGAATTCGTAATCCGCTGTCTAAGTATGTGGACGTAAGATTATTTGCTTGGCAGATGCCGTCACAGCAGCTAAAAGCCTGATTTTGTTTTATTCTAATCTGCATTCTATTGGTCAGGGAAACAGCTGGATGTTCTCATACACTTTTACCATAGAAAATACTTCTCTCTAGGGAAGTCCTGCTGCTCAGTAATAATCTGAGAATTAAACTGCAGTCTATAGCAGAGCAGGGAGCATTGTCATAAAGTATGTATGAAATACACGGGATTTATATGCCGATTTAAGACTTTTTTTTTTAAAATGTACAATGTGTCCAGGAGATAAATTACACCAAAGTCCTTTTTTAGATTAATTTTTATTTTCTTCCTAAATGTATCTAAAACCTGGAGGAACTCATGGCCACCGATACTGGTACTTTTTTTTCTAAATTTATGACCCAATGGAGTGTGTGGTTGCATTTCTCGACCTCACAGGAGCTTTGCTCCTTTTTATAACTTGTCAAACCTTGCCTTAGAATCCCGTTCTGCCACCATGCGGCGTGTAACTCCCAGGTTCAGATTGGACCCCCTCTCTTACTACCCCTCCCTTCTTCTATGCCTATTTCTGTTTTCTGCTTTGCTCTTGTTGCACTCCTGACGAATAAACTCCACAGTGCGATCGGGGTTGGGTGAAATTAGGGTGCTTTTTAATATGAACTGCAATAGAATGGAGGACACATCACTGAGGGAACAAGTGTGTAACTGACTAAACAATAATACAGTATTTAAAGCATAAAACTGTGCAGGTACAGTACAGAATTATTGCGATTAACATCCAAATGCAGAATCAGAATGTGCTCTGTCTGCTGGGAACATCCCCCACCAAAGCTGCACTAAGGAAGATGCCACCTGTCCTATAATCACACTGCATTTACTTTCGCTTGTCACTGGAACATTAGCTAGACCAGTTCAATCTATTATAGTCCCAGTTATGCTTATAAGAATCATCTCCCTTACCTGCAATAGAATGGAGGACACATCACTGAGGGAACAAGTGTGTAACTGAAAGAAAGTTCCCCTCAGAAACAAGTAACTAAGTTTCCCTTTCCACTTACAGTGCAGCAGGTGCTCTGGTAAATGTGTCCTCTCTCTACAAACAGGATTTTAGCTTGGTGTGTCACTGTGTCCTCTCTACAAACAGGAGTTTAGCTTAGCAGGGGGGATCCCGACCTGAAAGAAGCCATTTCAGGGAGGTGTCCTCATTTCAGGGAGGTGCCCTCTACACCCCCCCCCCCCCCCCCCCCCCCATTCTTGGTAGGCCCCTCTCGGTCTTACACTGTCTGGTCTTTCTTTTCTTTGTCAGGACTATTACTTCCACCTACTAATCAGCTAGTGGTGGTTACAGTGTTGTCCCCATCTTATTTTTCATGTAGATATGTTATCTGCTTACATTGGGAATTGGTTGGGGGCTTGGAATTCGTTCTCCCTCACCCCTCTTTATGGTATATTGCAGCAGATAACAGTCTAGCTTGCATCCAGATTCCATGCCTGTACGATATCTTGTATACTTATTTGACCGTTTGGGGTCAAATATGCTATCGCTACTGGACCATTGTATTTCTATTTTACATTCTCACAAGAAATGTTCTCATATTGTGATGTGGTAGCCCCCATCACTTTCTGTGATGTGGCTACTAGACATTTAGTGATAGCCAGGGCTGTAGACAGCCTGGCTCGATTTGTAGTGACAATTATATAGTTAATCCCAGTTGTCTAGCCTTGTCTGTACCCCCCTGGGTGCAGTTGGACTCTGTCATATGGTGGGACAACCAATGGGAAACACTGTAGTGTATGTACAGTACCGCAGCCAATCACTGGACTTCTCTCACAGTGGTGCATGCTGGGATAGAGTACATATGCTAGTTGCATTTGCCATGTGCTCAGATTATCCATGGAATTGGGCTGGGTGCCATTCAGCCTCCCATTTGGCTACCCCTGCCCTAGACAGACTAGAAATGAACTGGGCATCAGCGGTTCCTACGGGGGTAGCACTACATGTGTATTTTTCAATAAAATTGATTCAACTCTAAATGTATCTAAAACCAAGAACAATAATATAAAATTGCTTCTGCAGGGCAAGAGGTTCAACCTCCGTATATGGAAAGGCTTCTTTACAGGAGCTGTGAAAATGTTGCTTGTTAGAAACAAAATGCTGGATGCATTCCTAAATGAGCCGAATAAAACTGGAGATTAATGTTCTTCTTCTTTTTTTTTTTTTTATTAAAAACATCAGAGATTGTTGATCCATGTAATATGCTTTTCGGAAGCAGGAACGTTTTCCCCCCCCTGTTGAGCAAATTGGACCATGCTTTATACTGGGTTTGTTTTTTTGCCTTCCTCTGGATCAGATGTGGGAATAGGGTTCAGGATATGCACAACAAGATAGTTGTGCTTGATCAGATCCAATTGGCTGCAAAGGCGACATTAGGGGTCTAGTTTTACCCTGCCCTACTTTATCCAAAGCTTAAGTCGAAATAAAGCCAAAACTTGTTTGTTTTTTGGATAGAGTGAAAAGAGATTAGAGCCCCTGTCAGTTTTTTTTTTATTGCTCCAGAACAAGTACAGGTGATGTGCTGGATTCATATATTCGGATCAGTCGGAACATAATAAAGCACCAAGGCTCCGGTGATGCAACAAAAGCCTCATGTCCAGGGGCGTAACTAGAAATCACAGGGCCCCATAGCAAAATTTTGTATGGGGCCCCGTGATTGCTAGTTATGCCACTTGCAGAGCCCCAGCGGAGAGTGACCCTGCAGAGCCCGCCATAGACTCTCTATAGTGGGCTCTGCAGGGTCTGAGGTCTCTTACCTGTCAACGCCTCTGTTGTCCCCAGGCCCCGCCTCCTCTGTTATCGACGGGCCCCGCCTTCTCTTGCATCACTAGTCCCACCTGCTCTTAGGTCGCTGGCCAGTGATGTAAGAGGAGGCAGGCCCCGCCTCCTCCATATGTCCCACATACAAGGGAATCCAGGATTGAAGATACTGTATATGCATATATAGTCCAATAGAAACTCCATACTAGACGGTAGAGTTCAAAAATGTTTATTAATGGAATGGTTCATAGATGGCAAAGAACAGCCAAATCTTTTCGGAGATCTCTCCCTTCAGGGTTTAAACAAGATGATGATATTATTATTATCATTATACAGGATTTATATAGCACCAACAGTTTGCATAGCACTTTACAATATAAGGAAGACATTTAAATACAAATCAAGACAAGCTAGTAAGAAGGGCCCTGCCCATAATAGCTTACAATCTGAAATTATGGACTCAAAAACTGGCACATGTCACCAGAGGTTAATTATTTGTTGTGCAGGGTATAGTCAACATTGATGGATCAGAAAATGACAACATTGTTTGTATTGCTGTCTGTATCCCCTTTAGGAAGATTCTGGGTTGTCACCATAATGGGAATAGGTGTTAAAACTTCCAATGGGGACAACCGTCCTGGAGACAACAGGGGTTTCTGTCACTTGGAAACTAAGGGGGGGGGCGGAAGGAAGGAAGAAAAAGAAAATGCATCCAGTGGGATACAGATGGCAAAAAAGCTGACTGGGGTTATAACCCTCCCTTTATCCAACGTAGGGAGGGTACAAAGTTTTTTGGCTTTTTATAATAATTATCTTTACCATATACAGTACTGCAAATTGCTATAAAATTTTGTTTTTTGGATTTCTTTCTCGCTTTTTCCTTTTACAAGATGATGTGTTGAGTAGCATTGCCTTACCAGTCTGGGTTTTCTTGTGTTTTTAGTGGACGACGGTTTGGAAGGTTTAGAACCGGAAGAAGAAAACCTGAGGTGAGAATATTTCATGTTCACTTCCTGAATTCTTTTAGACTGGCACTTGTGACACTTCCCAGAACAGTCTGTTTATGTATCTAGTATATTGGTGCTTATAAACTGCAGGGCTGAATGCTTTTATAGCGGGGTAGCCAAACTTTGGGCAACGCATTGATGTAATGTGCAACAATGTGAATGAACCCTAAATATGGCCAGGCACCTTTAAAGGAGAACTATGAGATGAGTGATTTCCACTCCCCTCCTAGTTCTAGCCGACCTGTGACAATGAGACTGTCACAGGTCGGCTCAATAGATCGGGAAGTGAGCGAACACATACCGGCGTTCGCTCACCTCTCGATCCTGTCACAGCTCTCTGCCATGACGGGAGGGGCTGGATTCCCCCCTCCCCGCCAGCGCTGACTGGTGGAACGGACGGGGGAGGGGGCAGGTACAGCTGGCTCTGCCTCTAGATAGGCAGAGCCAGCTGTCACTCACGCAGCTGGGCGGATGTCGTGATCCGCTGCGGCGCCTCAGTATACCGCGAGCTGTAGATCACGGTATACTGAGCTTAGGGTAACGGGAGGACGCTAGATTGTCCCCCCATAGAAAACCCCTGACCCCATAGTTCTCCTTTAAGAATTTGTTCCCCACCTGGCTAACAAGAAAAACCCCTCTTTACCATGGCTGGGGCAACCTTGGTACTCCAGCTGTGATGGAACTAAAAGTCCCATATGGCATTGCAAGACACTGACCGCCACATACATAACTTCCAGAGGAAGAGGCATTATGAGATTTGTAGTTTCACCACAGCTGGAGGGCCGGAGTTTGGCTACCCCTGCTTTATAGCATCCTGAGCTCAAGTTAAGTGAGCAGTATTAGGCAATGTCACTGAAGTATTAAACTAGCCAGACAGGAATACAAATTGTGGCCCTTTCTTGGAAAACCGCCCAGAATTAGATGCATGAGTTTTTGAAGGAGCCAGGAAGAAAATTGTTGGCTCAATATTGACTGTGGCAAAACATCTACAGCAGTGGTTCTTGGCCTGTGTAACCTGCGGACCTACATTTGTCCTCGGTCATTAAGTCGCCATCCAAGTCTCACTGCAAAGGAACGCACCGCATTGCGGTACTGCGCGTTCCGGTGCGGGCGATTGAACTGTGGGTGGGAGGTGCGTTTTGGGGTACCATTCCAATAAATGGCAATGCAACATACCTCCCACAGCAGAACGCGTAGTAGGTGCAATTTGCGTGGTACTCTAGCACAGGACTGTGCGATTAACGCATTGTACTAGTGTGAACAAGCCCTCAAAAACACTGACGGACGCACACAACCACAGACACAATGTCACACACTCGGACATTCTCACATACACACTTGACAAGGTAGAACATAGTCCCATAACAATTTTACACCCAAACTCCCATGCTACTATGCCACCACCCTCCAATAATCCCCACCTCCCAATTAAGACACCACACTCGAGATTGGAGTTAAAATGGCTGTAGCAGCCTTTTATTACAAATTTCAAGTGAAACAGGGTGTGTATAAATAACAGAGATAACAGAGATAATAAATAGAGATATATAATATCTCTAACTATATCTGAGGTCTGTGAAGGCACCTTTTTACTGAGATTGTCGGTCTCTGCAAACCACTTAAACACTGGTCCCTAGCCGCAACACACCGACTCAGGGACAAATATGAGAAACTGCAGAGACCTTGTAAAACTAAGACTTAGACCTCTTTACTGAAGAATCCGCCAAGGACTACACACCTGAGACGAGTCCCTGTAACCACCAAAATGACTCAACCAAAAACACAGCCAACACAGACCTCAGGACCATTAGTGCAAACAGACAGGAACCTGTACGCAACTAGTGCGAGAGAACGAAAAAAGGAGCTGGTGGGCGGGAAGCTTGCTTGCCGTGTGGCAAATCCAGACTGAACCAGTACTACTCCACCCCCCTCCAGACCACTAAGGAGGCCCTCCTGCAACTCTTGAAACCGGCCAATCAGGTAAGTGACCATCCCCCTTTAACACTAAACCCCGTACTTCCGAGTTCCCTGTCCACCCTGTCATGTAGTCCTTTCGCCTATTTTTCTTTTCTTTTGCTCCAGGACTATCTTTCTTTTTCTTTTTTAAGATCCATCCAGTCCCCCTACCTTGCGAGAACTAGATTGGATCTCAGCCTGTTGTCCAGTGTGGGCTGCTGTGCTGTGACGAAGCTCCATCCATATGTGCATTGCTTGTACAGCTCCCTTGCATGTCCTGTAGAGGTGCCGGGAGCCACAAAGTGACGTCGCTCTGGTCCAGGCACCACTACAGGGCATGTAAAGGAGCGGTAAACAATGCACATATGGATGGAGCTCCCTCGTGGCCGTAGCCCCATCCTATCCCACCTCAAGCTGACACTCGGTGCAGGGCAGCATATTCTGAATGGCTACTAGGCACAGGAACTGACAGTGCTGTGCTAGGGGAAGGCTGAGGAGCCTCTAGCCTAGAAAAGTGGAAGACATGCGGCAACCCACTAAACACGGGGTTATGACCCACCTTTGGGTCACGACCTACCAGTTGAGAACCAAGTATCTACAGTCACTGTTCAGTTATTCTGACGGCATGGGCAAGGGTTGTCTGAATACAATATAAACCAGAGATGGGGAACCCCGGCACGTCAGCTGTGGTGCGACTACAAATCTTATTGTGCGTCTCACTCTGGGAGTCATGCCTGTAGCTGTCAGTGTCTTGCAATGCATCATGGGAGTTGTAGTTCCTGAACAGCTGGCGTGCCATGGTTGCATACCTCTGCAATAGGAGATTCCTCCATTCATGCTAGAGAGGTGTGTGTTTGTTTTGTCCACACGGAGCATACAATCTTAAGGTGTATGGCCAGCTATAGGGTCCATTCACACTGTTGCAGCACCATCCTTTTTTTAATGGCACATAGAGGAAATGCAAATGTGCTGCAGTGTGCTTATTGCAAAAAAAAAAGTGTGGGTTCATAATTGTATTCTTTTATGGGATGTTTTGGTGCATTGCCAACACATTTTATTCAAATGGGCTGTTCCAACTCACTGCACTGCATAAAACCATGTGTACTTCAACAGCAGATCGCCAAAGGTGTACATGGGCCCTATTTTTCACCATTGATGGATGGGTGGGTTATGAATACCAAAACACATGGTAATGCGCTGCACTTTGCATGGCATCTTGCATTCATTTATAAAGGCACCCAACGATCAACTACCTTAGGTGCCAACTAACCCGACCTTTAGCATACCACCAAGCACATGCAATGCGCTGCCGTGCATATCTAGTGTTTCTTTCATTGCTGTGCATTAGCAACTCATTCTAACTGACTGGGATGTTTCAATGCAATGCATGAGAATGTGACCTACTGCACTATACCATGCATGTGGGTACTTCCGTGGATTGGTATGATGTTAAGGGGCCCATAATTGTGATGGAAAGCTAACACTTCACATGTGTGCTGAGCCAACTGACTTTCATGTGCTGTATGGTATCAGTTGCTACTCACATAAGATCAGTGACTACCAACTTACTAAGGTATAAAGGGGTCTCAGATGGGGCCCCTGACATCTCCAAAGGGCCGCATATAATATAATATATGTGAAGGTTCAAAAGACTGTTGTAGACTGAAGACTTACTGGAGGAGATGGTCAGAGACTGCTCTGCAGGTGTGGTCTGGTAGGGATTTGTTACATGAAAGTACTAGTGATCATTACTATTAAAGGCTCCTTTACAAATCTTTGCTCTGACTACTGGGGCCCGAGGGCTTCAAACACTATAGAGCCACATAATAGGTTATATTCAATAGTTTACTATAGAAGACTGTCATAGTTTGAAGACTGACTGGAGGAAATGGTCAGAGACTGTTCTATAGGAGTGACTGGAGACTGAAATCATGCTGTAGTAGATGGTCAGAGAATGGGGACCTGTTCCATGTATTGCTAGAGACCACAGTTATTAAAGGCCCCTTTACAAACTATGGCTCCTACTGCTGGGGCCTGAAGGCCGCAATTCAAGCACCAAAGGGCCGCATATAATATTTATTGCTACAGAAGACTGCCATAGGCTGAAAGATTAACTCTGGGCACAAATGTTCTTAACCCTTGCCGTGTGGGGGTAGGCCCATTAAAGTGCTTTTATTTCATCTATGGACGAAAATAACAAACAACGAATTGCCCACATCACACACGCAATAGGTTAGACTTGATCGACTTATGTCTTTATTCAGCCTCAAATACTATGTAACTATGCTGTGCCGGTCCCTGCAGCCTGTCTTCTCCTCCTCTCCAGCGATGGTATGTCCTTTGGCGTCCTCACATTCTATACACTGTATTGGATGTAATGACCCGGGGGGCCTTAGACCACTGGAGCAGAGGGGGAGAGAGGCTCCAGGGACAGGTCTAGCAGCCAGCCTTCTCCGCTGTTCAGGTGAGCATTTCTTCTTCTTGTTTTTGTACCTAGATGAAAACAAGCACTTAACCCTTGCAATGCATGGGGTAGACCCACTGCAAGGCTTTAGAACATTTGTGCCCAGAGTTCTTCTGGAAGATGTACTAGGGGAAATGGTCAGAGACTGCTCTACAGGGGGTTGGAGACTGAAATCATGCTGTAGGATAGAGGTGGGAAAACTTCGGCCCTCCAGCTGTGGTGAACCTACAAATCCCACCATGCATCTGTCTCTGGGAGCCATGCCTGTAGCTGTGAGACTCTTGCAATGTTTCATGGGATTTGTAGTTCCACAAGTCTCACAGCTACGGACATGACTCCCAGAGACGGATGTATGGTGGGATTTGTCAGTTCACCACAGTGGGAGGGCTGGAGTTTGCCCACCCCTGCTGTAGGAGATGGCCAGAGACTAGGGACATGTTACGTGCCGGTACTAGAAATTATTGTTATTAAAGGCCCGTTTACAACTTCATGCTCCCACAACTGACTGCTGGGGCCCGAGGGCCGTGATTGGCCCTCAGGCTGCAGGTTGGGCACCAGGCCATTGGAACATCTGATCTGTAATCCAATGGCCGGTGCTTCATAGTCGTTTTCCTGCTTTCAAGTGAGACGTTTTGTTCTTGGTGTGGATGCCCCGGCTCGGCGTTGTTTACCAAAGATAAATACAATTGCCGAATGAACGATGGAGCCTTATGACTTCATTAAGCTGACGACTGTTTGACCCGGACCCAGATGAGAGCCGCTGTTATTTATGTCAGCCCTGTTTTGTTCTTCCCAGCTGGGCCCTGAACCCTATTACGTAATGTTTACTTTTCATGCATGTGTTTTGTCAAATGCCGCCAATTTGCAGACTTCCCAGAGTACGGATCAAAAGAATATTAAGACTGTTACTTTGTTTTTTAAGCAATTAGTCATTTTATTAATTACCCCTTTGCCACCTGTCATGATTAATTTAAAGGCGGTGATCTCACACAGTTAACTGGAGAGAGTTGCGTATGGATGCGAGTATTGGGATATAGTGCAAATGTAACCGTTTTACAGAGATAATTCCATTATAAGAGACAAGCAAACTTTTGGCTGGATTATTAGAGGCCTTTAACCTCTTGAGTCCCAGCTGCAGGTATAGGGGCTATTCATCCCAAGCGCTATTTTAAAATGGTGGTCGGTCTCAGCGGCTCATGCCGGACCCCGCTTTCTCTAGCTCTGGCACTGCCGTTACCTCTACACTACTAGCATGGGTGGAACTGCCAAGGTCGCATTGACCGGACCCTGGCGTTCCGCCACTTTTTCCCATTCAGGCCGCAACAGACACAGGAGAGGGCCCGCTCCCCTCATGTGGTGGCATCTGAATCGGAGGGAGGCAAGCAGGAGCAAGAGGAAGATGAAGGGCTGGGGTGCAGGGAGTTTGTGGATGCCCCCCCCCAAGTCCGGTGACGTCACCGGATCTCTGACAGAAGACCCGGAAGCCAGGGGAGAGGTGAGTACGGATCAAAAGAACTTTGATCGATCAAAATTATTTTGTTCGATCAAAAAAAATTAACGATTAATCGAGGGATCAATCGTTACTTTCTGCAGCCCTAGAAAAAATATTTATTTACTACCGTGCTCTGCGTTCTTTACTACCGCGCACTACTCGCCTCTGTGGTAGATCAAGAGGGGCGCCGCTGTGATGGAGAGCCCAGAAGTGTGTGGATGGAGAACGTCTCCTGGGGGGAGCAACTCTGGGTCTTTGCCCCTGGTGATGGAAGGAATGTCTAGCTCCGCCACTGTGTCTGGATGGCACTGCTTTTCACTTAAGTGAGCATTTGATCCTTGCAAAGTAAATGCAAATGTCATTTAAATTTTTAGCGATCGAACACTGGTGAAGTCGCCATTGTGCTGATTTGTCAACCTCATTTAATCTTAAAGCACTCCAGTTATTTTAAAAATCATCCCTTACAGTGGGGCAAGCTGATAGGTGAGCTCATCCATTCCTCTTATGAGTTTAGTTGCTCTTCTCTGCACTCTCTCCAGTTTCCCAACATCCTTTTCTTGAACTGATTCCAAAAACTGAACTACATATTCCAAATGAGGTCTTGCTGATGCTTTGTACAGGGGCAGATTGCATGTCTCCTTTTGTCAAAAATCCCTAACTCCCAGCATTTATTTATTAATTAAAATTGTCCTTTTGTCTGACTTTAATTCTGCTTTTAAGGGCCAGCTCTCACTGCTTGCACTCTAAAATGCTCCATTTTAGCATGTGGGCTACTGTCAGTTTTGCCAGACAGGGAGGGGTCAGTAGTGTAACTACCCCCATATCGATGGTAACTGTCTCTATGGGGCCCGAGGAAGAGGGGGTGCCCGGTCAGGAGGCCAGGTCCCGCAGTGATGGTGGAGGAGGCTGGGGACTGGCTGTAGCAGTGGAGGAGGAGGCTGGGGCCCAGAGGTGGTGGAGGAGGCCAGTGCCATTACCTGTCCGGTTTGGCAGCGGCAGTGGAGGCCGGTCCCAGCAGCGGGCAGCACGGGGCTGACAGGTAAGGGTGCATTGAAAGGGACCCCTACCCAGCCCCCCTGAGACCCTGCAGAGTCCACCATAGAGGTTCTATGGTGGGCTCTGCATGGTCACTCGCAAGTGGGCTGTGTGGGGCCTATGGTGGACTGTGCAGGGTGTCTGGTATGTGCAGTGTCTATGGTGGGCTCTGCAGGGTCACTCGAGGGTGGGCTATGTGAAGTTTCAGGTGGGCTCTGCCATGTGGGGTGGGGGGGATTGTTTTCTATGTGCTCTTGTGACTGTAAATGCATAGTAGCTGAGGGCCCTTTCATGCTATGTGTGGTGACTGGCCTTTTTCTGCAATGGATCAATGCCAGATTGCATTTTTTAAGCCTATAGACATTAACTTAAGCACATAACTTTATGCCTCATTCACACACAACGCAAGCAAAGTTGTATATTGCGTATATACGCGTCTATGCGCGTATATACGTGCACTATATGCAATTCCAGAATGTATCGCTCGTAATGGAATTTTTAATGTGCTGTACGCGCGTAACTACGCGTATGTGCGTGTAAATACGCAGAAATACGCTGCCCGGGCGCATCTGTTCCATTCAGTTTTTGCGCGTATATGTGTATATAACTCAAAGGCTATGGGGGAGGCTTCCCTTATAAGACTGCATTTAGCTACCTAACAAAGGGAACTTCGCAACAGGAGAGGCTGAACCTGTGCGGCAGGCCAGAAGAAACCAGCAAGGTGAGGGCAAAAAACTCCAACATATCCTTAGTATAACCGGCTTGAGCAGTGAGGACAGAAAAAAGAATGGTGGCCTTGGGAGGCGGGCTTTAATTTATAGTATAACTGGTCCTGTGATTGGGCTGGGGGCGGAGCCATACCCCCATTGTGTGCTGCCATGGATTGGTGTCAGGAAATATATATATATATATTAGTTTAAAATAGGCTTTCAGAGCGTTCCAGTGGGTTTGCATGCGCTTTTGGTGTGTTTGCATGCGTTCCAGAGCAGGTAATATAGGACTTGCTGCAGTTTTTTTACATGCTCTGGAACTGAACGCTGCGGTGTGAACTATAGCCCAAAACACCATTGGAATACATTGGACGCAGTTTTGATTCGGTCTGTAACTGCTCTGCACCTGGAACGCGCTTGGTGTGAACAAGGCCTTACCTTCTCTGTCCCCATGACCAATATTCTGTCTCAACCTCCGATTTACTGCACATACCTTCCAGAATCTAGCCTGTACCGATCGTATGACAAGCTACTGAGCTGATGGAATCCACATGCAGGGTCCAACTCCCCGACAAGACTTCGAGAAGAATCCAGTGTGGTTTATACAGGCTTGACAGTACAGAGGATGTGATTCCTCATCTATCTTCGAGATGGAAAGAGTTTTCTATCGGAAGCCATGTAACGCCGTGTCTAGAACCCTCTTCACACAATAAGGGAGAAACGAAGAATACATTGGGGAGGAGAAGCTGGGAGTGTCTACTAGAAGACTGTACGGATCTACTCAAAACAGTTTGGGGTGAAATGGTGGAAGATTCCAATGTATCAATGTAATAGAAATAATCTACCACTAGTTGTGAGGAATATAACAATTATACACAATGCAATAGATAGCAGTGTCATTACAGGAACAGGAAATAACCGTGGCGGTGGCAGCATAACCAACCAGGAATTATCTTATCGGGAGCCTACATGCTCAGACTTGGTCTTTTTTACTATTGATTTAGATCATGTTTGTGGGGTTTGTCTTGCGCTCTGTTACTAAATATATTCTATATTTTATTACATTGGTGAACTGATTTAACTTTTTGTTTTAGTCTTCTTTAGCTTTTAAAAGGTGATCCCGGAACACGGAGCCAGAAAGCATCATGTTGACGAGATGACGGACATTCTCACTTCCTTCCTATATAGAGCTTTCATGTTTTCAAAAATAAATCACAACTGAATAGCAATAGTGTGTCAGCCATTGCAGATGTCATTCTTGGTTCATAATGCATAAGTCCTATTCCAGCGCATGACTTCAGAATTAAAGTGGCATGCCCCCAGCCATATGTCAAAGAGTCTAGCATACTTGGCTGGGCAAATATTAGTCTATGGGGGAAAAAAAATAATTGTATATAATATATATAATTTTTTTCCCCATGCTTTGTTTTGCTGTATATTTTACATGCATACATCCAAAGATGATGCAAGATGGATTTTTAACCCTTTCGCTGCCAAGCCCTCCGGAACATTTTTCAAATCAGCTGGCCAAGCCATTTTTTCCTATTGATTTGATTTTTCAACTGCTGCGTTGCTAGCGTTTGTAAAAGACCCCCCAAACCATATATTTTCTGAAAGCGCAGGCCTGGTAGAAAGTGAGCATTTTAAAAACTTTCTCTTGTAGTGGGGCTACCAATGCACTGCAAGGGTTAAGTGCATGTTTTTCCTCTAAGGGATGGACTAGAAGATATACTTACTTGATCTTTGCTCCCGACTGGCTGCTGGACCTGTCACCACAGCCTCTTCTCCCCGGGGCTCTGGGGGTCCACTGATGTCATCATGTCTAATGCAAGTCCATTGACCACCTATGTAGCAAGCAATTTAGCTGCAAGTTTGAAAATGACTTGCTAAACGATTGCAGACTTGCCAAGCTTCACAATTTTGTTGCACAATTACAGCAAGTCTGCATTGCAAGCAGGGCAGCCATAATTTTGGTAATATTACACAGCACCAAACGAAAGCTCCATGAGTCCCCCAAAAAATGGTACGAAATTAGTTTCAGTACAGCGTTGCATGACGGAATAAATGTCAAAGTACTGCAGCGCTAAATACTGAAAAATGGCGGGGACAGGAAGGGGGTGTAACACCGTGGACTTCAAGTGGTTAAAAAAATGTTTTTTGAATTTTTTATTGTTACTTTAATTTTTACAATTTTTTTTTTCACACTCAGCTTTATTGCTATCACATAGGGGGCTAACAAGCCCCCTATATAATGTGACAGGTCCTCTTTATGAAGACATTAGGGGTCTCGCAGACCCCTAGTGTCACCTAGGGACCCCAAAGAAGCTGATGAAGCCGAGATCTGCTTCACCAGCTTCTTTTTCTGGCTCCAGGAGCCGGAGACTGTGTACAGTGACACCAGAAGTGATGAAATGCACCTCACTTCCGATGTCCAGTGATCGGAGGAGAGATCCGCTGCTAGAAGCTGCTGATCTCTCCTCCGATCTGTCAGGGGAGAACCTCCACACCGGTCACGGGCTCACACGAGGGACAGATGAGCCCGGGAAGCTGATTGCAGCACCGGCGGTTGCAGAGGGGGGGACACGGCGCCTTATTGTACAAGCGATCCGTCGTCTATACAGATCGCTTGTACAATACGGCGGATCGCTTGTATTTAAACAGCAATCATGGTTAAAAAAAACACACACACACATATAATGAAACACTCATATCACACACCTATCCCACACATATCACACACTCATTAAAAAACACACACATAGCTTCATTAAAATAAAAATTAAACACACTCGTTAAACACACAATAAAACACACTCTCACAACTAATAATAGTTCATTAAAAAATGTCCCCCTCTCCTGCTTACCTGTTTTGCAGGAAGGGGGGCTGCATCCCGGGGCTTCAGTGAAGAATCAGTGTGCTCTGCACTCTGGCTGGTGCAGACATACTAATCGCTCCCTGCATGTTAGCAGAGGCACCACGAGGGAGCGATCAGTATGGTCTGCATCAGCAAGAGATGCAGATCATACTGATTCCCCACCAGGGAATGATTTTCATTTAATATATTTCCATTTCGGCAATATATTAAATGGGATGTGGGCACTTGCCAGGTTTAAAGATGGCTGCTGCTACTCACGGCGGCCATCTTTAAAAACCTAATGTGCAGTGGACGAGGGGGACACCGGAGGCTAGCACAGCATCTGAGGTTACGAGTTAC